GCTGAAAATAATTTTAAAAATTTTGAAAATCTACAAAAAATTCATAGACATTTTTAAAATTGAAACCAAAATTTGTAATAGTGGATTGGTATCAATGGGTTAATAAATGGGAGTTTCAGAGCATTCCACCCAACCTAGTAATTATATACTTGACTATCTTCTTAAACCAACCCGACAAGATCTATGACCTACAATCTCATGCAGGAACTCACGATTGACTTGTCAAAGCTAGCCAATAAATAAAGAAACTACGGTCTTGCAGTGTGGATTACAGGTTTCCCCTTTAAGTGCAAGTCACACACACATATCACACTATAGTGCAAGGGTGCTCTCTATTCATATTTACACATATACCTTTGCATTGTTGCTTCCCGATATTTCAACTGTCATGTGTACATGTTGTAGGATTTGGCCCTCACCTTCACATACTTGTCTTTGTACATGGGACACTGCGAAGCTCTCCTGGCTTACAAAACATCCTTGGGCATCTCTCTGAGCTCAATAAGAGATGACCCTCTGAAAACCTTTGATAATAGTGTCATATGCCTAGGGCTAAGGGTTTTGGACATGACCATTGCCATTGATCACCTAGCTGTAGGTAAGTCAACTAACACACGCTCCCATTGAAGTGTACAATCCAGTATAATTCTTTATTTATATACTCTCGTGGTCTTTAAAGGCTACAAATCCAAACATTCTTATCATTGATTGGATGTCCTTTTGAAAGCCACGCTTTAAAATATCTCAATCTTTCGATATCCTTCTTCTATGTACAATCCAGTATAATTCTTTATTTACATACTCTCATGGTCTTTAAAGGCTACAAATCCAAACATTCTTATCATTGATTGGATGTATTACCCTTCTAAAAACCACCCTTTAGAGCATCTTAATCTTTTGATATCCTTTTTCTATGTGCCCCCATCCATTTGTACCAAACTAGAACGCGTGATTAAGGAGGAGTTCCAATGCAGGGGGGCCCACATAAGTTCCACCTCATTGCATGGAAGATGGTTTGAAAAACCAAAAAGACGTGAGCTAGGGAATTGAAGGTTGAACGACTGTTATATTGCGCTTTTAGGCTAGTTGTGGTGGTGGTTTGCTATATAGTAGGACCAACTATGGCAATCTATAATTCGCCACAAATGCCAAAAAAGCGAGTGAGTGTGGTTCCCTAGGAGAACTCCTAATGGCTATGCCTCAGGGGTTAGGAGAAGCATAAGGGAGGGCCACTCCAAATTCATGGGCAAGGTTTGATTCAGAGTCAGAAGTGGCACAGGTCTTAGTTTTTGGAATGACCTATGGATCGGGGACTCGATGGCCCAACATTTTATGCATTACCACCAACACTTACATCATAGTGGCTCATTCATATGAGGTCCTGAGGGGTGTTATGATATGGAACCCACCTTCAAGAGACCACGCACGAACAATGAAACACGTGAACTTGCTTCATTGCTCAAACTTTTCCACCCTTTCTTATTGCCACAGGATGGTCTACATAGGCTGCTCTAGGCCTCGACAATTAAATCCAATATTCCCAAGCTTTGGTCCTACCACAAAGACATCCTTGGAAGATTGAGTTGGAAAATCCTATTGCTTGGGTATGGAACAAAACTGAAGTTTTCATGGGTCATCTCTTGATGAGGTCAGAGTTGCCTAGGTTTGTAAGCCAAGGAACTATTTGACCCTTATGTGTGATGGTTGATCTCTAGAGATGAGGGCCAAAACCTCATCACTGAACCATCACACAACATGTACATATGATAGTCGTATCGAGAAAGCGAACCACCATGGAGGGTGAAGTGTGTACATGTGTGAGATATTATCTCTATGCACCATAGAGTTATGGTTGCATCAAGTCTGTGTGATCTTGGATGCATCTTTAGGGGAGAACCAGTATACATAGATTGGGATTGTATCCCCCTATCCATTGGCTAACTTTGGTAGCCCAATCATGAACTCCTGCAGTGGTCTGTGGGTCATGAAAACTGCTAGGTCACTTTGAGAAAGCAAGTGTTGATTATAGTCCACAGTAGAAGATAGAGTGCCTTAGCGATATTATAATTCTTAAACTTAGTTGAATCCAATTCCTATTAAAATTATTTGGAATTAACTAGTTTGATGTTAAATGATTTTTAGATTGATTATTTGAATTTTTATAAGTCTCTAGATATTTTATTTTTGTAAAATGAATTTATAAGATCAGAAATATTCAATTTCAGTATTTAAATATTCAGAGAAACATTTTCTTTATTTACAATATCCTAAAAATCATTTTAATAATTTGATAACTCATAAATATTTGAAAGGGCCCATGGGCGCCCACCAAGTCTACCATTATGATATGTGTGTGGCCGACATAGGGGCCCCATGGGTAGCACCCACTTAGTGGGGGTACTTTATTATTTTCTAGCTTGTGAATCAAGGCAATCAATCAAGTTGAAAATTTATAGAAAGTGTTTTGCAGAGATTTTGATTGAAACAAGAATCGAAGGTTTTGAAATTAAAGAGATTTGATTTCAATAAAAAGTATGTGTAATAAGATTATGGAAGATAAAAGTAAGTATAATATTTTTCTTTATATTTTATTATTTGATGGGATTAGTTTTAGGAAGCTAAAGGAAACGGTTCTAGCACCTTCCTTTGAGTTATAATGGTTGATCTCATGATTAGATCGCTCAAAACACTCACCCCATAGGTCTCCTATGATTAATGATCTGGATCTAATCTCACTAAGAATGGTTAACTCTAAGGAAACCCTGACCCTTAGAAACTCTATAAAAAGGGGCCTTCTCTCCCATAAATCTTAACACCTCTCATCTCTCTCTCTTCTCTCTAAGATCTCTCTCTCCCTTAGAAAAGTATTTCTGGAGTTGGAAATATGGGCACGCCCCACACATACAAAGTATTGGGGCCTTGTGATTTATGTGATGTTTTATATTGCTCTCATATTGATTAAGGGTTGTAGCCAAGTCTTTTCCATACTTTGTAAATCTGAGATAGACTATTAATCTCGTACGCCATTGGAGGAGGAGACTTGGTGTGGGGCGTATTACGTCTAGTTGAGGTAATCTTTCGGCATCTTGCTTTGTGGTTTGGAGTATTTTATTTATTATGATTTCTTATTTCCATAAGCATTGTGTTGGTTTTATTCATTGAATAAAAGAAGTTGTAATTAGTGGCAGCAAATGAGAACCACTAGGGAGGGCATGTTTGGATGGTGGTTAATTTTATCATGAGTAGATAATCTTATTTGAAACTAATATATCATTTTGTTTATTATTTGGTGATTTTATCATGAGTAGATGATCTTATTTTAAATTAATATATTATTTTGTCGGTTGCTTGCAGCATTCTTTATATTAATCTATGGACATTTTGTAGCCATTTCTGAATAAACATAAATGATTTTCCAGCAAACTAATATGGGAAAGTAAAATTCTCTTTTCATAAACATAAATTTATATGTAAAATTGCCTATTAAGTTAATCCTAGATAATGATATGATTGGATAGTAGCAAATAATAGGTTATTCATTATAAGGATTAATTTGTTAAAACGCTGAATTGATAGTGACAACGAGTACCCCCAAACAAGCGTGAATAATATTCAAAATAGTAGAAAAAACTCTCTTCACTTGCATTCAAAATATGAACTCTTAAGTATAAGGTATTTTATTAAAAGGAAAATTTTTATATAAGGTTGCAACCTTAAAATGTCGAATTACAAGTGCACCTCAAAAATCCATTGAAAAAAGATTGTCTTAATGTTAAAAAACCCTATAATTGATCATCTCCACATCAAGGAATATGGATCTGAAAAAAAAAAAAGGATTTTGAGTTTTAAAAATAGTGCATCTTGCAACATATTATCAATGTTTTCATATGTTTATAGATCTACATGATTAAATTTGATAATGCACCTTAATTTGATTGTTTAAGGTTACAACCTTACAAAAACCACATTCTTATAGGATGAGATAAAGTTTAAATTTAATTAATAACTGATCACCTTAAACACCCATTTGAATGATTCCGCAGCAGGTATTCCACCGTAAAATTTCTCTCTTCATAGTGTACTACTCTCGTTGAACGTCGAGTCTCCCTACCGGCTTAACATAGATAGAATAGATCAAGGGAAGTATACCACAACATAGGAACCCAGTGACCACAGGTATCTAATGTTGGTAATTTTTTGTTTGAAGAAAACTAGTTGCCATTTTAAAATGATATAAAGTACATAGTTTTCTTCAAAGTGCATAGTTTCTGGAGTATATTGTTATGGGAAAGGTTTATATGCTTCCCCTACATTCAGCCATTCAATTTTGATCAAGAGCGCTACTCACCCTTTGATTTTAGATCCAACGTCTTAAAGTATTTTACTTCTAGTTTTTTTTATATAAATTGCATGAATATAAAATTTGGTACGTGCCATCTTCTCATTGGAGCACACCTATAAAAAATATTAAAAATAACTTTTCGATAAAATATAATAATCAAAATACCCCTTGAAACTTTCAGAAGTATTTTGATCATTTTATTTTATTGAAAATACTTTTTTTATATTTTTCGCAAATGCAAGTTTAATAGAGGAATAGACGTGCAAAATTTGGGATCAAAATAATTTACGGAAAAAAAAATTAAAAATAAAATAGTGTAAAAATGTGACATTGTAATTGGGGAATGGAAGGTTGGATAAAGAGGAAGATAGAACTTCTATGCTGCAGAAGAAGTATAAAAAGCTTGTCCTATTATTATAAAGTGAAGTAATGGGTTTTTAGTCTCGCATCTATGGACAGAGAAACTAATGTATTTACATGCAAATACTCTTTTTATTTGTGCGCATGGAACCCAAGAGAACCATATGGAGCAAACGAAGCATGCGATTTGAGTTTGAGACACGTGCCCTTAACCCATGTATTAGAGTATGAGGCACGTGCCCCTGGCCCATGTACTGGTTGGCCTTCTAGCTTGCTTTCCGTTTTGCAGCAATTGGAATTGCTAACGAAGTTGCATTACATAGCATCGCCCATAACAATATCAAAGTTCCGAGTCACTCATGGGGATGCACCTGTCCAGAATCGCTTATAGCAATGCTACAAGTCAAAGTTGTGAATAGAAGAAAAAAAAAAATTACATATCACCATGAACGACTCGTATAACGTATAGAGAGAGTACAGACCGGAACCGTGGATGACCGCATTGAAATCAGTAGAGATCTGCCATGAAATCACACTGTCAAAGAATGAGCAAAGGTGTCTGAAACAACCAGATCAACCACCACGTGAAACAATTTCTTTTGGCCTAGCCTACGACTAGATGAAACAGAGATTGCTATTGTGCACCCATTATTGCTCTCACATTTAAATGGAACGCAGCAGTACACTCACTTGTTCAAAAGCAAACCCAAATATTTTGAAGAACAACAAATTGACAGCAACATGTTTCTTTGAGTGAAATGATCATATCTAAAGATACGTGTTCAGAAATTTTGCATAAAAAAAATATTGATTTTTAGCATGCCCAGAAGCTCAAATATGTCACAAGAAGTGAAACAATTTATGACCAAACTAGCATTATAAGACCGAAATCAAGCATTACCAACAATTCTTGAGCAAAGACGATGTAGGTTACATGTAGCCCGAGGCACAACTATTCCTGGATGGCATGACGTGTTTTGCTGTTTCTCATTGAACTTGTTGCAATTCTAACGGGAATTATATACAAAGTATACATAATAGACTGGAACACAACCCTTTGAAAGAAAGTCCACTTTAACTCCGAGCATCGATTTGCAGTTGATAGAAATTGCACATCCCAACTTGACAAATAACTAATCTGGAAACACACAGTTCCAGGATTTATAGAGTCAAGTGGAGTCATAAAGTTCACATAGATATGAGAAGCAGTAGATAGGGAACATGAAAAGTAAAACTTGCAATGTAAAACACATTGACAAAATACCAAGCATAATCACCCTCTTAGAATGATGAGACTCCACGCATTTATAATAACCAACCAGTGGTAAGATTATTCCCAATTTCAGCAAATGGAAAGATTGAACTTTCTCACAATTTTAACCCACTAAAAAGCATATAATTGAACAAGCATATTACCTCTCTACTTCACGTTTCTGTTTGTGTAATTGAACTCTCTGTGTCAAGCTCTTGCACAAAAGAAACACAGTCGCCCTGTAAAATCATAAAATTATTGCATGAATAATACCCGTCAATAGGAGCAAGGGTATAAGCATTAATACACTACCAAACCAGAAAAATGTAAGTAATTATGGACACCAACTCAAAGCTTGATTGCTCGTACCACCTTTCCATCAACTGAGACATTGGTTCCATCAGTTTGTAATAAAGGATTTGAGGACATCACTTGGGTGAAAGAATCAACCAACCGGATTGTATGGAAACAATCAATGTAATGGTAATCCCAAATATATGGCATGTTCATGTGGGTTAACAATCACAGTGTATTGCATTTGTGAAAACCATAGAGGTTGTTGCTTTCCTTAGAGGTGACCGCAGCAGTGGAGATATGTTGGCCATGTCCAGGATTTTGTTCCATGCAGTACTCAAGACGCATATCTGCAAAAAAAAAAAAAAAAATGATACAAAGATAAATGAATGACGAATTATGCATCGGAGTAGTAGTTAATAAGACAAATGATTTATTAGACATTCGATTGTAGTTTGTTTTCAGGATGGAACCTAATGGTTTCGAAGCTTAGTCTTGGTACCCTAGGTAATTGGTTCGAATCACGAGCTCATGAATCAAACAACAAATTCCAAGGAGTATGCAACAAAAATAACTATATTTCTAGCAATACCTTGTTCAAGATGCTTGTATACCAAACTTGCATCATCCTCTTGAATCTTTTCGTCTAACCTGACAAGTGACCTGAAAAGTGACAATAAGATAGAAAATATAATGTGATACTAGGTCACTATTTATTTTCTATGTATTTGCTCAACTGAAGAAAAGAAAATAAAGGAAAACTGCTTGCTGTGGAACCATAGATCCACCTATCAGACTGCCTTAACTTTAACTTGTAGTGCTGAAAGGAGTACTCCCTGATGCTTTGTATGCAATGTATGCAAGAAGCATATTTTGAGTTAAGTGATATGGACAGATGAAATAACCAAAGCTATGTATGTTTTCATTTTGGTTATGTGAAAATCAGAACAGATTCGCCTTAATCCAATAAACCTTTCAAGGATTAAAATCTCTCTCGTTTCCTAACAATTCCAGTAAGCAGACTTCCAAGAGTAATTACATTAAGCAATAAGAAACCCGAGATTTCTTACCACCGTAAATTTTGCCCCAACCACTCTCCTGAATCTTTTTTCAAGACCAATCCCAAGTTCTGTATCTCCAAAAGCAAGGCCTATCATTTCAAAATAAATGAATCATTTTCAATATAAATGAATCATTCAATACAGTCTATGTGGGAAATTGCAGAATGAAAGATCAGACAAAGTTCAAAAAACCTGTTTCTCAGTAACCAAACTTTGGATAGTTTCTTCCTATACAGATGTGTCCTTCTGAAGGTAATCTTGGTCAAGATAAAACATCTGACTGTAGACTGATACTCAAATCACTTTTGACAGATACTTCACATAAAGACAAGTATGAGATGGATATAGCTTCTACTTATGGTTGAAGACCATCTATTGTTGTCAATTCCTCTATCTTTTTTTCATCTCCAATGTGGTTTGATCCTTTCTCTTGAGCTCATCTTGGTTGTTCTTGATTTTATTCTCTACAAATTCTTATCTTCTCTGCAAAGATAGAATCAACAAATCTTCTGAGTGGCAAACCAGAAACTAAAGGTAAAGGAGAAAAATCCACAAACACAAGCAATTATTTAGGAAGCCCATAAATCAAGGTGCTAGTTGAATCTAACAGAGTATCCGGTTTGCATCAAGCAACAAAATATGAACTGACAGGCATCTGTCAGATGTGAATGAGGAGCATCTTCAGATTTATGTGATTTTGCAATACATTCCATTAGACTTCATGAATATTGAGAGAATTGGTAACCAAAATTTCCTGTGAGCAATCAACTACAGTTCAAGAAGTGACCATACCTTTAAAGTCTTTTTCAAATAACAAAACATCATCCGCCTTCCTTTTCAATACAGTAGCTGAGTGTATCCACCTTCCTTTTCAATACAGTAGCTGAGTGTTAGACATGCAAGGAAGATGAGGAATAAGCGATCCAAATAAAGAACTGTACAATGAAAATAAATTTTGAGTGGGTAAAAACTCCAATGATTCTGCTTCAAACATAAAGCTGACAAAAGATCACACCTTCGAGACAGAAAGCCACATGCCTGATTGCTCTTGTTCGCTCACAAGCCGATGCATACTGTCAACAACTTGCTTGTTATCAGCAGTTTCTTTTTTAATAGAGTCAAATAGTAAAGATTGGTGGTGAAATCTTCTTGCAGAGAACTCCTTCTTTCGGTCTCCCATCTCAATGGATTGTTTCAATGCACATGTAGATTCCTGAATATAAGTATAACATGCCATCAGTGTTGCTAAAGAGGAAATATTGTATCTGATTGAGAATATGCCGTCTCACACTTCGTAAAAGAGCAATCAGGCATGTAGCTTCAATTCTATAAACTGTGCTAAAAAAAGCAAATCAAACCATAAAATTGATACATTATTTCTATAGTGTATTGGATTTAAACGAAGTTCCGATATATCTAAAGCAAATTTTTGAGATAAACAGAATGTTGTCATTCATTTGTTATCAATCCCATTCGGAGATTACGCGCTTGGAGAAAATTTCTAATGTTCACCATTTCATAATAGGTCTTTCCATATTTTTATGAACCAATATTTTAACTAGTATGAATTTTATAATGGATATCAGGGTTATTATAAATGAAATTGATCTTATGATTTGTAAAAATTTTATAACTAGAAATTTTATATGATAACCAAAAATAATATATAACATGAATTAAAACTAGCATGAATTTAAAAAAAATCTATGCTAGTTTCAACTAAAAATCTATGTTAGTTTCCACACCCACATTGCAAGAATCATGTGAAAGAGAGGTTACCTCTTTGTTTAAAATTGATAAATTATAATATAATCTATATTCATATTTTACATATAGAGTATTTCATATTATGTATAAAAAATTTTAATCTCCATATCCTAATTGTTTACCATTTTCAACTTAATTACTCAATGAAAATCGTCATCTTTGCTATAATATTCCGACAATTAAACATCAAATTAAAAATATTTTTATGATATTGCATCACATCTTTGCTAAATCGTCACATGCCCGGTTAATTCTTTGTCATGTGAAAAAAATAGGCTAAACTAGTACACATCTTGATGATATTGTCATGTAAATAGGATTAATCCCCAAAACCCTATTTACATCATATATATAATATGCTTCACATCTTGATGATATTGCATCTGAAATTTGGAGTGTGTGTTTTTAGCACAGTGCCAATAGTGAGTAGCATATATTGTCATAATATTATAGTTTGTCTTTGATTCCTATAATATCTTGTGAAAGTATGAATTTGTAATTTTAATCTCCGGGGACTTTTTTTTCTCACTCGGGTCTAATTTTTCAAGAAAGAGGTAAGCGGTATGTGGCCTTGGAGCACCCTACCGACAAGGTGTAGCAGTTAAGGTGCTAGGCTTGACCTATGGGATGTGAATGAAACTAGAGTACATTGGTGGGATGTACAAGCCAAAACTTGAGGTGGACTAGCCTTGGGGGCCTTGAGTTAAGAGGGCCCCACCAGCAGGATTATTCAATAGCAATCCACTCAAGACAATAGTGATCTCGATTGCAATGGCATTTATATCAGATTCATATTGTGTAGTTATTAAATCTGGATCGTGGTGGTAGCACCCCTATAGTTAATTTACCATGTTGTGGTTCCAACACCTTCAAAAAAGCTAACTCCCTAGTCTATATGAAAAAATGGCCTGTCTTCCCCACTGAATTACCCAAAAAAAAAAAAATCTACACAGTTATCATCTCAAACTTTAATGCTCCCAAAGAACTCACTACTGTTATACTTAAATCTATCCAGATATCTTAAATTTGAATGCCCTCAAAGAACTCAAGTATTGTTATGGACACCATAATAAACTATTGCATGAATGTCATTTTGGCAAATAAAAACCATTTGTATCGTAAAATCTTAAAAATATCATCAATATACATAGTATTTCAATTTTCAATCCTAAAGTTATTTGTTTCCACCATTTTTTAGAATTGTATTTGTGTTTTTATTGACCTTTTATTCAAATTCCATGAGCCGACTTGAGAATACCGAGCCGACACCTAGCCGACTCAACGCACCTGAGTCCAGAGCTAGGTCTGGCTTTTAACACTTGTTTCTCTCATTTCTCTCAACCTGCGATTTCATTACTCCGCTCAAAGCCTGTCCAAAATCCTAAACATAAATTTGAAAGGGACATGCCACATCCTAGCCATCCATTTTTTACATCCTCATGTCTGGGTGGTGCTAAAAAAGGTCAAAACGATAGCAGGGGATACAAATCCCTTTGGTAATAGGGCATGCTGAAGCCATCCCAAAAATGGTATGGTAAAATGGCCATGAGTTAGAATGGCCCTCGGCTTTACCAATCCAGATCGGCCAAATCGGGTAATAAAGATTGCCGCAAAAAGAAATCCAGCAAACAGTAAACAAAATAAAAAATGAAAGAGAAGAAAGTCGCATAGAACCATCACAATATACTGTTTAATGATTTAAATCATCAAACCTACATATTATACGTAGGGATTAATGCAAATTTGAGAGAATAGAGCATCTTAA